CGTTCAAAGTTGTTATTAAAATGCTCTGTAAAGACAGCATTTTCTCCCAAAGCTTATTCTCATCATCCATAATTCTCGGGGAAAAATAAAAAGAGCTAGTAGAATCGTAAAGTAAATGAACAAAGCACCCTTAATCCCCACAGCTTAACACATCACCATTAACTTTAATGAATACCAGATCAATTCCTTCTAGGCCTGGGAATGGCCTCCTGGTGAGTTAATAAGATGCTGGCCTGTGTATTTGAAAGTTAGGTGCGATGTGATTACAATGAAATGTAACCAAGGAGTGTAAGTTCAGCACCTCCAGTGTTGCCAAGCGGTACTAGCTGCATTGTCAACCGCCTATCTACCTATCATATGCAACAAGAGGCTGTTTTTAAAAGGCCTGAGAAAAGTTTTCCTTGATCCAACATAAGGATTTTATGAGACACCAATGTATTTATCCATAGGTTAGTATTGATCAGCTCAAAGGATACATATTCCCTCCAAAGCACTGAGCACCCATTCTATTGGAAATGATTTTTTTGTTTGTTTGTTTTTATCTTTTGGAGACAGGGTTTCCTCTGTGTAGCCTTGGCTGTCCTGGAACTCAGAACACACTCTGTAGCCTGGTTGGTCTCAAACTCTGCCTGCCTCTGCCTCCTGAGTGCTGGGATTAAGGGTGAGCACCACCACTGCCTTTGGAATTTTATTTTAAAGATTTATTTATTATATTTATGGTTGTGAGCCTAGCCTTTAGTGGATGAGCTATCACTCCAGCCTGGGGCCTCTGAAAGACTCTGCCCAGCAGGGTATTGAAGCAGATGCTGAGCCTAATAGCCAAATTTTGGGCAGAGTGCAGGGAATCTTATGGAAGGAGGGGAAGATAGAAAGACCTGGAGGGGACAGAGCTCCACAAGAGAACAACAGAGCCAAAAAACCTGGGCCCAGAGGGGCCCTGCAGAGACAGATACTCCAACCAAGGACCATGCTTGAAAAGGTCCTAAACTCCCTGCTCAGATGTAACCCATAGGCAGCTCCCCAAGTAAGGGAAGCAGGGACTGTCTTTGACATGAACCTAATGACCAACTCTTTGATCACCTCTCTCTGTGGGGTGCAGCCTTGTCAGGCCACAGAGGAAGAAGATACAGCCAGTACTGATGAGACCTGATAGGCTAGGGTCAGATAGAACTCGCGGAGGCCCTCCTCTATCAGTGGTCTAGGGGAGGGGCATAGGGAGAGAAAAGGGAGGAAGGTGGGACTGGGAGGGAGACATGGGAGGGGGCTACAGCAGGGATACAAAGTGAATAAACTGTAATAAATAAATTTAAAAAAAGAAATGTAAATCAAAACTGCTTTGAGGTTCCATCAAAATGGTTATCTTCCCTAGGGTCCTCCTTGTTGTTTAACTTCTTTAGGGCTACAGATTTTAGTATGTTTATCCTGGATTATATGGCTGATATCCACTTATAGGTGAGTATATACCATGGGTGTCTTCCTGCTTCTGGGTTACCTCATTCAGGATGATCTTTTCTAGTACTATCCATTTGCCTGCAAATTTCATGGTTGCCTTGTTTTTAATAGCTGGGTAGTATTCCATTGTGTAAATGTAGCCCACAGACAGCTCAGTCTCCATGTGGGTTCCCTAGTAAGAGGAGAGAAGACAGTCTCTGACATGAATTGGGTTGCCTGTCCTTGATCACTTATCATTGATGGGGTGACCTAGCCAGCCCACAGAGGAAGAGGATCCAGATACTCCTGATAGGACCTGATAGGCTAGGGTCAGACAGCAGGGGAGCGGGACTTCCCCTACTGTGGACTAGGGACAGGGGAGAAACAGGGAGGGAGGATGGCACTGGGAGAGGATGAGGGAGGGGCTACAACCGGATACAAAGTGAATAAATTGTAAAAACAAATAAGTAAATACACCTTAAAAAGATCTACTTATTGTTTTACATGTATGCATATATGTGTGTGTGTACTACATGTGCCCATGGAAGCCGGAAAGGGGTAGTGAGATACCTGAGGTACATGCTGGAAACAGGACCCAGGTCCTCTGCAAGAGCACTAAGTGTTCTTGATTGCCGAGTCCTGACTAGGAATCTTCCAGAAGATGCTTAGTCACAGGTGGACGCTTTCGTGCCAGACACTGATGAGGATTAACATCTGGATTCAAATCCCTTTCCTGCCTATTAATCCTTATCTTCTTTCCACTCGGAAGCTCTCTAAAGCATCATTTCTCCCATCTTTATCCTTCTGTGTCCACGAGAGGCCCCACACATGCGCCACCTGTCACTTAAAGGACTATGACACTCGCCTGCGTTTCTCCAGGCCCTGCCGCAGTTCTGGCTCTGAGGACTGCTGACGTATGACCCTCACCTGGACCTGACAACAAAAATGTCACAGCTGCTTTAAAAAAAAAAGACTTTGTAAGGAAACTTCCCTTTAAGAGGCCCTGTAGGAGGGGAAGAGGGGCTACACCTGGGTACAATATAAAAAATCGTGTGTGGGGGGGAAAAGAGGCGCGGTTGGTAATTAGCCTCTCTCACATCATCGATTCCAATCTCCACTATTGTGAAACTTTAGGCTGCTCTCGAGGTCATTACAAGCCCATCAGCAAGGTCGATCAATTATAATTTATATTGGGTCACTCTGGCTGCCACAGCTGTTTGCTTTCCCCAGGGCTCTCTGAACCTGTTTGGCAGGAACTGTTTAATTCCATTCAATAATGTCTATCTTGCATAAAGGCATTAAAGAGTCAAAAATAATAACAAGACAAAACAAAAAATAAGAAGCCAATGCCCAGGACTTGGTCCACCTTGAGACACGAAGTAATTCACTCTTATGATAACAAAGGATAGTCTCTCCTCCGGAGTCATCTGTTTTCCACTATCAGGTATCAGCTGACACCTCCCGCTGCACACTAACTGACTCCGATTCCAACCAGTCCTTAAAGTGTTCCAGGTATTTAAAACTATTGCCCACCAATAAGTCATGCTTACGTAAGGATAACTAGAACCCCTCCAAAACGAGGCAGGCCCAGATAATTTGGGAGGACTCCTGGGAGGAATAACGAATTCCTTTTCCTAGAGGTCAAGTTCTAGGAAACATAGTGAACTGGAACAAAATACATACAGCAAACATGGCCAGAAGGTGGATCTCTATGAGCTGGAGGGCAGCCTAGCCTACACAGTGAGATTCGGGCCAGCCAGGGCTACATAGTGAGGTCTCATCTAAAAAAAAAAAAAAAAAAAAAAAAAAAAAAAAAAAAAAAAAAAAAAATCAAAAGACACATTGGGAGACATGGAGAAATAATTCTACCCTTGATAATGGGTAGGAAAGGCAGAAGCAAGGGAATCGGCAACTTAAACAGTGCAGTAAACCAACATGCAGGGCGTTTTCTTCTTGAAGTTGTCTGGGTCGTGGTGCTTTGTCACTGAAGTAGAAAAATAAGTAAGACAAGTACACACTTTAAGACTAGGGTGACGTGTGTGGTGGCATGCACCTTTAATTTCAGCACTCAGGAGGCAGAGGCAGGGGGATCTCTGTGAGTCTAAGGCCAGCCTGATCTACATAGTGAGTTCTAGGATAGGCCCAGACAGTCAGGGATATGTAGAGAGACCCTGTCCCTTGAAAAACAAAACAAAACAAAACAAAACAAAACTCCAAAACCCAACCCCCCCAACCCAACTTTTTGAACACACAAAAAACAAAAACAAACAAACAAACAAAATCAACCAACGAACTAACCAAAAAGCCCCCTGATTACAGCTATGTGTTAGCACATGAGAAATCCAAGGCAAGTAAATTTGTTCTTACATTATTCTCTTAAAGGCAAGTTAAACAAACAGGCTGAGTATACAGTAGGATAGCAATCTTAAGTGACTTCAAGGTGTATGATTAACTCTTGCTGTGAGGTCCAGCAAAAGTCCCAGTCTCTTAGAATGTAAGAGACATTTTTGTCATAATAGTTGGCCACAGTACATTCTTAACATGGGTAAGAATTTTAACGATAGTCATCTGACACTTCAGTACATTTTAAAGATGGACTCCATTTATGTAGGAAGTCCCATAGAAGTATAATGGAGCTTAAAATTCTTGTCACGTGATTACTTTTTTTTTTTTCTCGGAGACAGTGTTTCTCTGTGTAGCCTCGAACTCACAGTGATCAGCCTGCCTCTGCCTCCCTTAGTGCTGGGTTTAAAGGTGTGAGGCACCATCCAGCCCCTGTAGGAGTCTTAAAGCAATAACAAAATGCAGCGTGTGATGCCTGCTGCACAAAAGGAGAGCCCGCTTGCCCAGCTCCCCAAGACTACAGTCTTTGTACACATACAAAAACCAGTGTTGTCTGAAACAGTGTGCCCTGCCATGAACAGCAGCTATAGAACTCTTAGGCATCTTTCTAGGTTGCATTTGCCATAAGCTGATCCTGAGTGTGTCATGTGCTGGCCCTGTGTATCCTCCGACATTTCAGGGGTTCTTAGGTCTGAGTAAGTACGTTAAGACGGTCACACAATGGAGAAAGCTGCTACCTCTGTTAGGAGACAAGTGACTCGTTTTAAGTCCCTGAATAATATGAGCCCGCATCCTGACCGTGTAGGAACTTTCAAATTTTCCATTTATCCACCTTCTTGAATCAGAGGGTTCTCTGTGATAGATAGAAATAATCTCTTGGAACTCAGATGAGGAACTTCTGAACAGAGACTTCTCTCTGCCAGGCAAAGAAACATCACCCGGGTACCACTGTCATCAGCAGGGCCCTGCACATCCTTGTTTGCCAAGGATGAAGTGCTTAACCAACACAACGGGACTCCCCTGGAGGCCTCACTCTCCTACACTCCCGAAGGCAGAAGGGCAGGTAGGCAGAGCGCTCTGGCAAAGACAGCCGGTCGGCCAGAGCTCGGCATCTGCGCACTCTGCGAGAGGATGAGGGCGGGACTGCAGGCGGAACCGCGCAGTACGCTTTCCGGTCTCTTGGGGGTGGAGCTCTGTAATTCGGCTTCTGTGGGTGACTGGGGGAAACTGGAGGAGCTGGGTGTGTTGCGGGGCAAAGTGGGTAGAAGCAAGATCCTATCGGGCACCAGCCCCGCCCAGCTACCCCAGGGCACCAGGGTAAAGTCAAAGCTGCTCACCCGGAGGCTAGTGGACTAAGTCCCGGGGACCAGCACCATGCCTATGACACTGGGTTACTGGGACATCCGTGGGGTGAGCGACCACCTGATGAGTGGGAAGGATCGCAGGGCACAGATGAGGGGAGCTGTGAAGGGGAGGGATCTAGAGGAATCCCTTTGCTTGTCTAGCTCAGGATCTTGCACACGTGCTTGCTGGTGTGTGCGCCTGTGTGAACTGACTTGGAGGAGGTGCAGTCACACAGAAATCTCCTGCCCCCGTCCCTGACCTATCTTTCCAGCTGGCTCACGCTATTCGCCTACTCCTGGAGTACACAGACTCAAGCTATGAGGAGAAGAGATACACCATGGGCGACGGTAATGACGTTCGTTTGGTTAGGGACTTCTTCCCTAACTCTGACCATAGGCGCCTAACAACCCACTTCTGACCTACACTACTTTCCTGGCATCCCGCACCACAAGGCTCCCTCAGGTGGACTTAGAGGCTGCCTCTTTCAGAAACTCCCAGAGGGTTGGGCCTGAATGGCATACAGAACCCTGGAAGTGGAGGGTCCCCCCCAAACCTCCACCCGCCGTTGAAATGAGATCACATTTCCCATGAAGGCTTGGTACACCTTTTGTAAGTCTTGGAGAGGTAGGGCCCTCAGTCCCAACCACTCTTCATCCCCGGAGCAGACTGTGAGGTTGCAGATCCCTTGCCTTAGGGGGTTGGACACTCGGCTGATTTCTTCTTATGTAATCTTATCAACCACAGCTCCCGACTATGACAGAAGCCAGTGGCTGAGTGAGAAATTCAAGCTGGGCCTGGACTTTCCCAATGTAGGTGGAGGGGAAGGGAAAGTTTGGGGAAGGCGTGTTGCTCCCACCTCATCTCCTTGCCTGGCTGAGGTGGTTTGGGATCAATGCTTTCTTCTCTCCTGCTCCCATTCCTGGAGGTTGCACAGTGGTTCTGTGATGGGCTGTGTCCTACCTCTTCCATTCAGTGTGCAGGGTGTTCTTGGGGGCTCCCAGGTCATGTGGTCACATGTTTGTCCTAATACAGAGAAGTAAGGGACCTTGTATCCCATCTGACCATTTCTGCTTGTCCTCGCAGCTGCCCTACTTAATTGATGGGTCACACCGGATCACTCAGAGCAACGCCATCCTGCGCTACCTTGCTCGCAAGCACAACCTGTGTGAGTGAGGTTGCCTGCGGGGAGGGTGATGGTGGTCATCTCCCTGGGCTTGGCTGGGGCAGGAGGCTGAGGGTGAGTCTGTGCTGTGTGTGCTGCAGGTGGGGAGACAGAGGAGGAGAGGATCCGTGTGGACATTTTGGAGAACCAGGCTATGGATGTTTCCAATCAGCTGGCCAGAGTCTGTTACAGCCCAGACTTTGTGAGTCTTATCCAATTCCCACCCTGGGCTGGCCCAGGCAGTGTTTGGGTCAGGAGTTGGCAACTCTCAGATTCCCATCTGCACAGCTCTTATTTCCCTTTTGAATTTCTTAGTCACTTACCCTCCAGGATTGTGTGTGTGTGTGTATGTGTGTGTGTTATCACCAGCAGTCCCCATTTCACTGAACTATAAAATGAAGACTCTTAGGCCTCACCTATTTCAGGGTCAGCCTGAAAGACATTCTCTCCTTTCTTCCTTCCAGCCTCAATTTATGTACTTCTCAATTTACGAGGGAAACTCAAGTATATTTCATTCTTCTGGAACCTACCATGCAGACCTCTCACCTTCTCCTCTGAGTACTTTTAGTTCTGGATTCTCTGATGCCATCTGGCATCTAACCCACTTCCTGCAAAGTGCTCAGGCACTCAGAGGTTTAGCCATCAGGAATGATGATGTCCCATTTTGGACAGTGTCTTACTCTTCCCTGGCTTTTCTTGCCCTGCATTTGAAGGGTGGGGCAGGCTACCAAGGAGTCTAATAAGTAAATCAAAGCCTGGACAGTGACTCCACCTCCAGTGTAGTGGAGATGGCTGCCCACCCCTGGCCATTTAGGGCCATGTATAATACTGTTGGCCTGGGTCATTCTTCCAGGGAAGCTGCATGGTGACAGCTGTTTTCTGCCTCAGGAGAAACTGAAGGCAGAGTACCTGGAGCAGCTCCCTGGAATGATGAAGCTCTTCTCACAGTTCCTGGGAAAGCAGACATGGTTTGTTGGTGAAAAGGTAAAAAGAGAAGAAGTTGGGAGTTGTCATTCTTTCCAGGGGGTCAGATTTTCATGGTTGCTCATTCTTGGCCTCTCGAAGATTACTTTTGTAGATTTTCTTGCTTATGATATCCTGGACCTGCATCTTATATTTGAACCCAAGTGCCTGGATGCGTGCCCAAACCTGAAGGACTTCGTGGCCCGCTTTGAGGTGATGCCCTGAGCCTCCCTCCTCTTGGCTGTCAACTTTCCCTTGATGTTTTCTTGGGCTTGGAGATGAGGTGAAAAAGAAGTGGTGGATACTGCTGAGCACTCGCTTTCTGCTGGAATCTGTGATGAGCATCTCCCATCACTGCAGCATTCCTGGAGGGTGGGAGGGTGGGAGAGAGGGTCGCTTCCTCAAGGTTTCAGCCCCAGTAGAGCTGGGATCCCTGCTGACTTCCTGCTCCCCAGGAGAGTAGGTAGTGGCTGCAGCCTGGGTTAGGAGGGCCAATCAAAGGAAGATGGTGCAAAGTACCAGGATGTTAGAGAGTACTTGTGCTTGAACTGTTGGCTGCCTTGCTGAGACTTGTGTGGGGTTCCTGTTGGAGAATTTGATCTGGAAATGTGTGACACGCGCTTTCCTCCCTCCCTCCTTTTCTTTTTGATTGTGAGTGTCTACGCGTTCTGTGAGATGGCATTATATGCTTATTTTTACTTGTATTTCCTGATCTGTGTATGAGGCACGTGTGGTACCCAGGAAGAAAGGAAAAGTTGGTCCTTATACCCTCTGTGGGAACAGGTGTATCAGATAACATCAATCATACCACACTGGGAGATGTGTGGGGTACCACGTGGGTGCTGGGGAGCCCAGATTCACGAGAGAAATTCGGGGGCTGGAGGCCTCAGTCCAGTGGGCTTTTCAGTCTGGAGCTCATTTTGCTCTCCCATGCCTTAGGAAGTGATGTGCGCTGTCAGCTGGTTCTCATCATTTGGCCCAAGCTGAGTGTCTTTGGGAGGGGAGAGGCTGTGGAGAGCTGAAGGCTGCAGCTCTAGGCTAAATGTGAATTTGGTCCCTTGGATACAGGCAGCTCTGAACTGCGTTAGGGATATTCTCGGGGCTCACTCTCCTGCTAGAAGGCCAACAGCACATGTAATTGCCATTGAGCCTCGTCCCTGTCTGTATCAAGGCTGGAGACAGGATTGCGTGAGGCTCAAAACCAGGTGTGAAAGTTTGGTTTTCTCCTTAGGGAATGCTTGGAGTGAGGCTGGCTTTTTTTCTTTTCTGGCCTGCCCGTATCTGTAGACTTTCACCCTGGTTTTGCTGAATCACTGGATGAATTCAGGGTTATCCTCCACTGGAGGAGATAGGGGCTATCTTCCAACATGGCCCTTCGTCCAGCCAGATTCCTACTCAGGGCTGCAAACCCAGGCGATATGGAGTTGGTGTGTACAAGAGGAGCATGTCTGTGTAGATGGGGTCGCAGGGCCTCTTGGGGAGGGTGGGAAGTGAGTGCCCAGAAAGAGTACAAAATTGGAGGAACGGAGGCCAGGCCAAACCCAGATGTGTGCCACTTACTAGCAGTGTGAGCAAGAGGAAATTGATTCACCTCTCTGGCCCTGAACAAACCTGAGTTTTGGGTTTTCTGTTTTGTTTTGTTTTTTTCTCTCAGGGCCTGAAGAAGATCTCTGCCTACATGAAGACCAGCCGCTTCCTGAGAACACCTCTGTATACAAGGGTGGCCACATGGGGCAATAAGTAGGGCCTTGACAGGGCAGGAGGGGCAGTGAGGAACCTGGGATCCAGGAATAGTTGAACTTCCGACAGCCCTGGTACTCTTTCTTTCCGCCCCCTTTCTCCCCCCAGAGCGTCATGTGTCCTCTTTTCTTTCACCCAATCCCTGCCCTTTCATGCCCTTTAAAGCCCAGGCTCCTCGTTTTCCTTCAGCAAAGTGCCTTTCTAGCATGACTGTGCCCTGCCCCCACTTGACAGTCTTGCCCGCTGGTTGCTGTGCTGTTGTGAAGAATTGGGACTCTGCCTCAGAGCTCAGCCCGGGGCTCCCCAGTCTTGCTAGGAGACTAGAGATGGCTGCTGTATGACGCCCCTGCCCAACTCTGTTGGGTCCCTGCTGTAAAGAAGGCCTGGCCATACTGGCTCTGGCTGCTGCACTGCCAGCTTTCACTGCTGCCTCCATGGACTACCCAGCATGACCCTGGCAGAGGCTGAGTTCTCAGGGATTCTGCTTGATAGGCAGGGGTTAGGACATCTTGGCCCCAACTGATAGCCTCACAGCAGGCAGTCGCAGGAGGCTCTGTGCAGTTCAAATGGAGCTTGGATCTCCTTTAAGCTAGCATTACTTAGGTTTGTCATGCAGTCTTAGAGGTGAGGATCCAAGCTGGTGGGAGTCCCCAGCAGCAAGCCAAGATCCTCTCTGCCTCACAGTGGTATGGCTGTGTTATATCTATGTGTCTCCAGGATCTGTCTATTGGGTCTCTGATGCCTTCAGAGTATCCTGTCTTAGTCACAGAAGTTAGGGACTGTCTTGGTTAATCCCTTCCCTCTGTGAGCCCCTGTGTTTTTGTGATTTCAGATGTCTTTCCTACCATTTATATCAGCAATACTTTGGATAGGTATAGAATTGTAGAGTGAACTTTTGGTTTCAGGTGGCCGCTCTTCTTTCAGAAATGCAGCGTTTCTGGTAATATGGGATTCTTTTGTACATGTTCGACTTTGACGATTCAGATGGCCACCTTAGTCTTGATATCTCCAAGTCAAAGCTTTTGTAGGGATCTGTACCTCGACCTGAGGTACTTTCTGAGCTTCTCCCACTCAGACTTAAAATAAGGTTGTTTTGGGCTGACAGTGCTGCCTTCAAGAGCCAAAGGCTATTGAACAAAAACCACACCAGTCATGACCAACCTCTTGAGTTGTTGGTCAGGGTTTTCCAGGAGACTTCCAGAAATTACAGGCTATTTCTATTGGCATTGGTTTCCCGTATGTACTTCAGACACAGGGCCCAGAAACCCCTAAGCCAGATCTGACCTGAAACCTTCATCCCTGAGGACTAACTTTCATGGTGCCAGAAGGTACTATGTAAGCTTCCGAAGGAGGGAGGCAATCAGTAATCCTTCTCAGCTATGATGCCTGTAAACCACAGCAATGACCAGGATGCCACGCCAACCCTTAGGGTGCAGTAATGGCACACATATTTTGATGGTAACCAACAGCTCTTTAATTAGACTTAAGGCCTGATCAACAAGAGGGAAATCATGCCTGGTATAGGAAACCTAGTCAACTGCCCAGGGGTAGTGAAGTCATGGATCTTAGAGGTGAACATACAGCCGCTACATTGTTAAACCATCATAATCCTTAAATACACTCTAAATACTTAGCCTCACTCCTCATCAAGAAACTTCTCTTTGCAATAGATGGAGAACATTGCAGAAAACTATAACCAATCCAAATATATAGCTGTGGAGCCTAGTTCCAACTGATGCTATCTCTAGCTCAAGCCCTGCACCTAAGGCTTGGTATTATTACAGAAGAGTGGGTGGAAAGATCAGAGCCAGAATAACAGGGTGTTTGCTATGAGATTGTGTCTTCTAGGAATGTCAGAAGTCTCACCAGCATGGCTGCCTAAACATGAACTGAACAAGAACAACACCAGCAGACATATTAACGTAGGCAGTGGGAAAGCTCATGAGGCCTTGACTCCAGACAAAGAACTACAGGCAACGAAGGAGTGTTCAGAGTGGGGGAAATAGTCTTCTCCAAGAAAGAGAAGAAAGAGCACTGATTATGCAATACCAAATGGTCAGCCCTGAAAATATACATATAGACTGAGGAGGTTGTATTTATGTATTTAGAATGTGTGTATATATATATATATATATATATATATATATATATATATATATATATTTATTTATTTATTTATTTATTTATTGAACAATTAAAGAAAAAGGAAAGGCATATGGAACACTCTGGAGGGAGAAAAGGGAAGGGGGAAATTATTATGCAATTATAATCTGAAAAAAGAGAAATAATTAAAGAATTAAAATGAAGCTAATGTCAACATAAAAATGTTAGTCTTATCTTTTGAAAGACAACAGCATTCTGACCCTCCTAACAAGAGTGGGCCATAGGCAGGTCCATGTCCAGTTCTGGTGGATATTTCAGTATTCCAAAGTAGTTGTCCCATCAGCAGAGTACAAAGTGATGGTATTGCTAATCAGCAAAGACTTTGTTCAAGAACTATAGTCAGAAATAGATCATCAAAACTTACTTAAGACTTATATGGCATTTCCCTGAAGTGAACAGCCAGTTTATCATGACTCATGATAAACACCATTAGTTAGCAGAACAGTGCATGATTCAGCGTATTCCCTGCAGAATGGCTCATATCCAATGAGTGACAATAGTTGCTAAATTTGTGCAATAATTGGAACTTGTGCCAGATTCATTACTCCCCAGTTCTTCATCTGTACGATGCCCTCTTGAAGTGATTTAAAATCACACCTAGAATGAGCCTCAGAAGATGGCAAGCTTTCTTTTTTCTTTTTTTTTTTTTTAAGTGTGAGCAAGATATTTTTAAATTTTGTGTACATTAGTGTGAAGGTGTCAAATTCCTTGGAATTGGCATTACAGACAGTTGTGAGCTGCTATGTGGGTGCTGGGAATTGAACCCTGGTCCAGACTGGAAGAGCAGCCAGTGCCCTTGACCACTGAGCCATCTCTTCAGCCCCAAGGGCAAGGTTTCTAACAGCACTGTGAACCCTCCCAGGGTACCAAAATGAGTAGTTTAGTTTGCAGGCAAGTGTTTTACTCACTCCAGACTCTCATCTGATTTTTATGGGTGCCTACCTCTTTGTGAAGCTGAGTGATACAGTCTCAGTACAGTCTGTCTGGCCATCTTCATGATGTCAGAGGTGTGGATTTCATTGACTGAAAAACTTCTATCCTGCATCGTGATCCTCTCGTTCCCTCTGGCTTTATTCATTTTGTTTGGATAAACTACCGAGTAGATACTTGAAGGCAAAACCAATTCACTACTTTATAAGCGATTATCTTGTTCTCTTCATGTAGAATAATTTAATTTTTGGTGGCAACAGTAAATCGAGTGCACCTCTTTCTCAACTACATGGGCACCTGATGGCCAACGACGTCATCCGGTTATCTTTTTTTGTAGACTACTCTGGTCTGGAACTCAAAGATCCACCCACCTCTTCCTCATGAGTGCTGGGATTAAAGGTGTGCAACACCACACCCAGTTCACTTTCATCATTTCACAGTGCTTTGAGATATGTGCCTGGCCGCTTTGCAAATTACTGCTCATACATGTTTCCACCTGAGGAATCAAAATCTGTGAATCTCCTGGAATAAAAAAACTGCTTATTCATCTGTCTGTTGCTTAGTCTTTTCCTGGAGAAAGTTGAAAGATACACCCAAGGCAATCCACGCCTGTTTCCTTAAGGAGTGTCATAACTGGGATTCTGTTTTAGGTTTCCTGTCACATAAATGAGAGTTAATTTTTTTGTAGATATCACATACATCTCAAGACATCATTCCTCACATGTCTGACATGGTATTTCCAAAAAAGCTTAGCATTTGATTTTGTCAAGGAAAAAGCACGTACCATTAGTGGCTGATACCAGTCAGAGTCTGGACAATTCTAACACAGAGGGGTGGATTTACTCCCTTATTTTGATTAGGCTACTCCATCTTCTCCTGTCTGGGGACATCTAACTACAGGTTCTCTACCCTAAGACTTGGTGGAGACTCACAGCGTTGCCCTCCGCCCATCTGCCCTTTCAACTTGACTGAGTTATGGCACTGACTCCCATGCTTCTCTGAGTTGCAGAGATCATGAAACTTCCCTGCTCCATGATCTTTTCATCTAGTGTCAATAAGTTACTTCTATCTGATTAAAAATTACATAATAATTCCATTACTTTTATCTAATGCATTGATATATATATTTGTTCCGTTTCCATGGAGAACCTTGATTATCCTATATAGCAAACAAACACAAAAAAATTAATCACAGTAATGAAAGAGTCTATAAAGTGTTATGCCAGGTTCACGGGACCCTCAGAGACCACCAGGAGACGACTCGATGCAATTGCAAGAGAGCTTTATTACAAGAGCGATCGAACTCGGGACCCAAGTCTCACTGGCGCAGCAGTAGAGAAGTGGGACCCCGAGCTCTGAGTGAACAGGATTTTTAAAGGGAAAGTCTGTGAGCCGGGGGTTTCCATGGCAGCAAGCAGGGGGGCACAAGCCTTGGCGTTACAGAATTGGGTGAAGTTTAGCAGGGCGGGGTGACCTTTTCTGAGGCACATAATCACAATGGCTAAGGCATATAATCACAATGGCTATTTTTCTAAACCATATCTGAAACATCGGGGAGAATTTTCCCACTCGATTCTCAACCGATTCCCATTGATTATTGCCAGGCAGTTTGTCTCTATTTTCTATGGAGCATTTATTCTGTTATATTTCCAGGAGGCTGTTGCTAGGAGAGTTAACTTTGTTTTCTGCCAGGTGTACACTCTGTGACATTTCCTGGTACCTGAATTCAGTTCCCAGTCAAGATCTTTATTTTAAAATGGAGTTATATTCAGGCTATCTTAAGCTCTTCAAAAGAAAATATAAAACAATATAGCACTTCCATTTCTTGGGGACCTTTTTCAATTTGGAACAAATGGGATGAAGGTTTAGAGCTAAGATATCTTTTTCTGTCCTAGTAAGTTTCAGTTCATTATCAGTACTTTTGGGAGGAGTCCAAAGAGAAAATCGTCTCAGTTCATTGGTAAGAGAATATCTGGGAGGCTTGCAAGGGTAGTTGGGCATTTAGAAAGTAGTTCTGCTATGGTGACCCCATCATTTTGTCCCTTGGCTCATGGTAACCATTGTGTGCTGATATATTTAACTTTTGGCCTTCCCTGTGTGGAATAGGTTTATTTTCTGTGTTAATGCACCACATGAGTGAACCAGCCTGTAGAGGCCAGAAGTGAGCATCCTTCCCCTGGAATGGAGATTACAGCTGGGTGTGAGCTGCTGTCTGGGTCCTGGGAAGTAAACCCAGGTCCTTTGCAAGAGCATCAAGTGCTCTTCGCTGCTGAGCCATCTCTCCAGCCTAGGATTTCTTAGGAGTTGTAAAAGAAATGTTTATGATGGGGCTGGAGAGGTGGCTTGTCGGTTATAGGTACTGGCTGCTCTCCTAGAAGGTCTGAGTTCAATTCTCAGCATCTGCAGGACAGCTCACAACTGTCTGTAACTCCAGTTCCAGAGGATGTGGATCTGACACCCTCACTAGATGTACATTCAGGCAAAACAGCAATGTACCTAAAATGAGAGAGAGGGAGAGAGAGGGAGAGAGAGAGAGAGAGAGAGAGAGAGAGAGAGAGAGAGAGAGAGATTATTCCATACAAAGGTAAAGTCTCCTGCTCTCTTTCCTGATGTGCAGCCTGCACCATGGGGCTTCCCCAGGCAAGACTGCTGCTAGGTCCTCCCCATCTTCCCTCTCGCAGCTCTTCCAGGGCAGCAGCTGCTCTGCTCCACCTCTCACTGGCCAGCATGTCTAGGCTGAAATTCTCCACCTGTGGCTTCTGAGCCATTCGTGGTTCACAGACTAGATCAGGTCCTCTCAGCTGGTCCTGGCTGCATTTGGACTGGGTGGTTCTTGGCTGTGAGGCTGTGCTGTGCGCTGTGGGATGTAGTGGAAGTTTTGGTTTCTTTAAAAACTTAGTTACAGACTAGGCATGGTGGCACACTCCTGTAATCCCAGCACTTGGGAGGCAGAGGCAGGAGAATCTCTGTGAGTTTGAGGCCAAGCCTGGTCTATACACAGAAACCCTGTCTCAGAAAACCAACCAACCAATCAAACAAACAAACAAACAAACAAACAAACAAACAAAAAACCCTCAGTTATGTTATACAAACAGGTTTTCTTTTTTTTAAATCCCAAGTGTGGGATATGGAGCTGCTTTTAGTTTGTCCACAGCTGATAACAGCCTCATGCAGCTTCGAGAGGAGTGTGGTCTTTGCCAGCTGCAGTCAGCTTAACTCTGAGGACTCTAACAGTGCAGAAATACGAGAGCACAAAGAGGAGAAGAAGGATGCTTCGTGGAGATGGTTGGAGGGGGAAGAAGGCTGCTGGTTAGTCCTGCAGCTGCATTTGCTGTTTGCTGGACTGCTAGATATCTTGATGACAGTATTGCCCCAAAGAACCCGACGACTCTAACCAGCTGGAGGTAAACAGGGAGAACTCTGCCCCTTCTCCTCACCAACTTTCTTTCTCTCCTACCTAGTATTGGGGTGTTGAAAGGTACTAGGCGGGATAAGGATTAGAGAAGGGAGGCAGAGGCATAAGGAACCCCAATTAAAATACAGCTTAGAAACAAGCGCCTACAGTGGGACATTCGTCAGCTTCCCCATCCTCCACCCACTAGACACTGCAGCACTTTTCAGTGGTGACCGTTCAGAAAGTCCTTGAGTTTTGTCAAGTGTGCCACGAACTGCAAATTGCCTCCTGTACACACCAGTAGTATACTGGATGGAGATTTCCACTTTAAAAAAATAAAAAAGAATAAAAACAAATGAAAAACAGAAATGATTATGGGTCTTGTTTGATGAAACTTTATTTAGCAATATGTGTGTTTCTTATCATGCAAAAAAACATATTCCCCTACTTGTTTTTTATTTTAAAAAGACTTAATTTTAAAATTATGGTTATGTGTTTGTGTGTATGAGTATGTGACTGCAGGTAAATGCAGAGGCCAGAAGAGGGCATCAGATCCTCAGGAACTGTCATTTGCAGGCAGTTGTAACCAGACTGATGGATGCTGGGATGTGCATTCCAGTCACATGTTCTTAAGCAGTGATCCATCTCTCCAGTTATTGCCTCCCCTTTAAAAACAGATTCGTAAGTTTATTTTTTAACATACACAAAACATAAAAATCATATGTATGCACAGGATACCATGTGATGTTTTTGATACATTTAAATATTGTGCAATGTTTAAACCAGTGATATATGTTTAATATATCACTTCTTTGCAGCGGAAACACCGGAAGTCCCTTCTTCCAGTTATTTGGATAGACACGCTACATTGCCATTGTCTATAGTCACCTGCTGCGCAACAGCACATCAAAATGTTTTCCTCCTAACTGCAACTTTGGGCCCACTGAACAACCTCTTTCCATTGTTTCTTTTCTCCTCAGATCCTGATGATCCCCATCCTCACCTCCTCCTCCTTCTCTATTTCTCTTCCTCCTCCTCTCTTCTCTTCCTCCTTGGAGACACACTCTTGTGTGTGACTGTGCTACCCTCAGTATGATGATCCTCCTTCCTCTGCCTTCTGGATGCTGGGACTATGGGCGTGCAGTACACTGTCTGGCTGTATTCTCATCTTTTATGAGATGAACTGTTTTTGTTCTGGTTGAAATCACATGGCATTTACCTCTCTAATTGCATCCATTGTAATACATCACAAGATTTCAATCTTTAGAAAAGTTTTAATTACAGTTATTAATTCATATTAATTATGTGAATTAATGGATTTAACTGTGCCATTTTTATATATGAGTACCTTGTACTTTGATCATTTATACTTTCCTTACAGCTTACTGTTTCCCTTTCCTAGCCTCCCATTTCTCCCTCAGTTCCCTTCCCAATTCCTAATTACTTCTGCTTTCAAGTAATCCTTGTTTATTTCTTTTAAAAGAAATCTATAAGGTTTATTGCACACTTGTTGGGAAGGTAGCAGAAAAGTTAGCAACAAATTTGATAGAAAAATCTCTTGTCACTCAAGTCAGTCCAACAGCAGATGGACACAGGACATAGCCCTTTGAGGTGATGGGTATCTTCTGCCTCCCATGACTGAGCCAGTTTCTAAGTAGATTAAAAAGCTGTTTCATGATGCTCTGAGTGGGCAGTGTCTTCACTTTGTGCGGTGGTCCTGCGGTCTACTCCCTGGCTCTCTGGTGTCCACAAACACCCGGAAGGCAGGGAGCAGGAGGCAGGGAGCCTTCTACCACACGGGCATCTCAAGGCCTCTCCTCTGCAGCAGCTACAGAAGGCAGGAAAAAATGCTCCACAGGAGGATGCAACCGGGGCTCATGGGAGACTTGCAAACCTAGACAGAGTAAAGCCCCTCAAGGCACAGCCCTGCTTCTACCTCCCTCCCATAAGCCTCTGAGGACACTGCCCAGTGTGGCGGAGAGCACACTCCCTGGCATTTCATTTAACCATTCATCTGCTGCAGTGCACGTAGGCTGGTCCCGTGACTTGACCATGATAACAGTTGCGGCAAACATGGGGGGGTGCAGTGATGAAGCAGGATCCCTTGCACACAGTCTTTATAGAGTTGTGCTAATTTGCACACTTACTAACAG